TGGCTCCTGGCTATAATTTAATTTTTAAATGCCTGAGACAAGCCCTTTATCTGCTACCTGGCCACTATGATATGAACTGCTCTTCTCCATTGCACACTGCAGCCATGATGGACTGATACATTTCAAAGTTTTCCTTTCTGTAAATGAACTAAGTCAACTACCTTTTCAGAATAAAAAACAGGATGTACAAGGATGGAGATGTGGAGATTGGCGGTGTTTTTTTTTTATCATTTATACTTCAGTATGTCTTTTGAAAAGCATACCAAGGTGTTATGTATCCTGCAATCCTATGTTCTATAGAACACATATAATGTTTGGTCTTTCTGAGTCTAGAATATTTCAAGTAACATGGTAATCCAAAAATCATACATTTTCCTGAGAAAAAATTGTTTTTCTTTATGGCTGCATAAAATTCTATTGTTAAAAAGAAAAGAAAAAAATGTATCAAAAGACATAGACAAGCTATCAGTATTGCCTGCCTTGGTGGAATAGAGATGCTGTTGGTGACTAACGGAGCCTCTGGGAGTGGGGAGCCAGTGAGGACTTGGCTTTTTATCTTGATATACATTTTCACTACTATATCTATTTCAACATGCACTCTTATTTTTAAATTTTTAAGCTTTATACCACTACCCTTAGAAAATATACAAAGCAGCTTTAATTTTCTCCTACAAATTTATTTGCTAATTATATTGATCACCACCAGGTCATATATTTATTTTACCAGCCACACCAGAATGGTCTACAATAGAATGGATATGCTAGTAATAATCAAATTACCTCCCTAGAATACTTACAAAATCTAGTTGCTAAAGCTATCCCAATTACAATGAGCATAACTACCCACAGGGAAATTAAAGGAAGGAAAATGTGACATGAGGCCTGTATCAGGAAACTCCAACTGTCACTCATTGGTAATTTCAAACAGGTATGAGATATATCTTCAAAGAATAAATCTCCAAGCTCCTACTAAGGACAAGACAGAATGTAAAACAACACTGTTACTTTATGTTTTGCCAATATAAGTGCCTATCAGTTTTTAAGTACTTTGTTTAGGGACACTACCAAGAGACATGGGTCATAATATCAGCTCCCATGGAGCTTAAAATGAAATGAATAATCAAGACTGATGCAATGAAAAGGGGACTGCTGAGTACATTTGCTTTCCTGTATGCTATTAGCGAGGAGACCTTGACAACACTAATGTGTAAGGTGACAGAGATGCAGAAGCATTTGGAGGATAAGATAGGCAAGAAAAAGGTAATCACAAGGAGACTCATGTTCTTGGTTTTATATAAACCATGCTCAATTTGAAACTGAACAACACACAGATACATATTTGGGTAAAATACATAATGCACATTTGTAGAAGAGATCTAGATGGCTCCTGTGTTTGCAGATACACTACCACCAATGATGAAAAGTAAGTATTAGAAGGGACTGTATATGTCAAATGTCAAAGCTCACTTGACAGGTGAATAGATTTTTCACAATATTTGGCCAGCTAACATGGTATCTTTGGGTACTTGGTAAGGAAATGAAGGATGGATATAGCTCTGTGAACAAAAGTAACTAAAATAAAACCCTTTTTCCTTTGTTCCAAATCAACGGCAATACCAGTTTCTTCTCAATATGTCACTTTTAGTATTTCCTGTTCAAGCTAGCCCACAGGGAAAAAAGAAAAAACATGGAAAAGGCAGTAAAAGTAGTAGAGGAGATGTATACAGGAAGTCTGGAGAGAGTAAGCTGACCTCTAACTCTAATTTTAATCATCCATTTTTAATGGGCTTCTATTAAATGGGCTTCTTTCTTAACTATAGCATGAATACCCCCATGAAGTAAATTCAGTTATTATTATTAATATTACATCATCATTATTATAATATACATCTACATATCATCAAAATGTATTTCTATATTGTTAGAGAAGAGTGAACATTAAAAAAATAAGAAAAAATGAGTCCTACTCAAAGTCACTTAAGAAATATATATCAAAGAACACTGGACTCTAGACTTCCAGAGGTTCAATATTCTGTCCCTATGCCACAATCTAGCAGTCCTTTGATTGGAAGCATAAAGGACCAGTAGAGTCTGAATTACAATAAGCAATAGAATAAAGAAAGTTAGTACTTCAAAATCAATAAATCTTGAGATAAGCACTTAGCAAAGATATTAGCTTCTTTTTTTAACAATATGAAAGTAAAAAGTTTATTATGATATAAAATGAAGAGCAAACAATTTTGGTTGAAATACAGAACTAAAACTGACAATCTCCTTAGTGACCTATTCACTGTCTTGCAGAGACAGCACACAGCAGTTAATTTTATAATGTAATTAAAATTATGTAGGAAATTTTATGAAAACACAGTAAAACATAAAAATATCTACTGACAAGGACTTAATTGTTATGATGACTAGGTCTATATTCAAAATACCAGCATTGAATCTATGACTAGGAATAGATAGATCACTGTGTATGAACTATGGTAATTATAAATTTACTACCTAGTTTATAAGAAAATTTTGAGGAAAATTATGTATGAGATAAAATTTCAATTTAACAATTCCTTGGGATAGAATTGTTTTAAAAATATTTCAAAATAGTTAAGGAAAACCAACTTAAAGAATTTTAAGAAGCTTCAGGTAGGTTTTCTCAATGAAAGGAAAAATAACTGATATCAAGAAATTTCACATTTCTTATAAATTGCACAGTGCCTTTCTATTAAAATAAGATTTGAGTAAGCTAAGCATTTTCCTCAGAGAAAAATTAAATCCTCCCAAAATACAAGTTGAAGGCATTTTTCTCAAAAACATACCAGAAAGTGCTGCTTTAAAACAGATTTAATAAAAAGCAATGACTTTATAGATGAGTGATACTAGTCAAATAACAGCAAATCATTTTTAGTCCCATCCCCTATTAGCCATTAATCTAACAGTTAAAAAGTTAGGCCTCCAGGGAGCTGATTTCTCACTTCATTAGGTAAGATCATGGCTTGTTTCCTACCTTTCCTCTTTTTTACCACTTATCACACTGCAATAGAAAGCAGGAAGGAAACTCATATATATGTCTATGCCAGGAGCAAATCTGATGATAAATTAAGTGGAGGAAAAGCTGTCAGTATAAACTGGTCAAATTCACTTCTTTCATGAAGCTGTTCAGACACAGAAGTTATCTGAAAAATCATAGAGTCTAAAGCCAATCTGCATTTTGTCAATATTCCCTTAACATTTTCCTTCTAACTTTAGAAACCCTGAAATATAAACACATGTGAACATATTCTCACATGTAACTTATTTTCATTAGTGACAACATTTCAAGGCAGAGATTGTTTTAAAATCCTTTAAGAAATGGTAATAGGGGCTGGAAAGGTGGCTCAGTGGTAGAGCACTTGCCTTGCATGCTCAAGGCCTGGGTTCGATTCCTCAGCACCACATAAGAAAAAAGCCGGAAGTGGTGCTGTGGCTCAAGTGGTAGAGTGCTAGCCTTGAGCTGAAGAGCTGAGGGACAGCGCCCAGGCCCAGAGTTCAGGCCCCACGACCGGACCCAAAAAAAAAAAAAAGAAATGGTAATAGCAAGACAAATACAGTAAATATCTAGTTGTTGATGTGAATCTTTGGTTAAACTAAAATTTGGAGAATAAAGTGACCCTAACTGGATTACATGACTGCAAGATAAAAGAAAAACTGGGGGGGGGGGAGGCGAGGGGAGAGACGTATGCATTAAAGTCAGGAGACTTGGTATATCCTATTTTTCTGCCTTTTTGAACAATAACAAGTCATAAATAGGTTCCTAAGAAATCTCTTAAGATGACTGTTAGCTGGTTTGAATTTTCACAAGGCAGCAAGATTTTAGACAGATAATATGACAAAGAAGAAGTCTACTTGAAAAGTCCTTGAATACTTGTGCTTTCAGTGGGTCAAAGGTACTTCTATGACAGAGTTATTTGCACTTATGTTATTTAACATTGGCAGACTCTTCCTAGTAAAATGCTTTATATATCTTATGATGCTACTTTAATAAAGCTGAGCCTGATATGAGGAGCACTAGAAGAAATATGACTATGTGGATTTTCCTCTGACATAAAAATCACATCTCACAGTACCAAGAGACTTGTAAAAGAATGTTCATAGTAGTTCTATTCAAAACAAGGCCCATCAGCAGTGGAATGGGCAAATAAATAGTGAAATTCTCATACCTAGAATACTCTAGAGCTACCTATCTGATTTGGTAACCACTAACACTAGCTGAACTGCACTTACAGTATGGCTATACTGTGATTTGAGATGTGCTACATATTTCAGACATCATCCAAAAAGACTCATAAATTACATCAGTATTTTTGTTGAAGCAGTAGTGATGCTAATCAAATCAATATTTTGTATATAATAAGAAAACATACTATTAACCCCTTCTATCCTACCAATCCCTTCAAGTTACCTGCCTCCATTTTCAATATGTGAAAGATTTAAAAGAAACCATTTTGTGATTTCTTACACAAAATAACTAAGTTATCTTCTAAAAATTCTCTAAAATCCATCTAATATTTTTCTAAAGATTATTTATTTTTATATACTGAGAGGAAGCATTTTTGTCATTATCTTTAAGTGTTTTACAAAGGAGTTACCATTTAACTACATGGCACCCTCTCAGAAGTGCTCTTGAATTGGAAAATAAGTGAAATTATGAATATTCTTAATTTAGTATGAACTAAATGACCTAAGTGTTTTCACATAACTATTCAGAAATGTTTGTGATGTGAAGACAATTTAAGAATCAAGCTTCTTGACAAATCAGAATTTTTTTTCTGAACACAAAAAGTTTGCCACAGTCAGATTTGGTGATATATATCTATAATATTCCTAACACTTAAGAGTCTGAGGCAGGATAATTAAGAGTTCAAGACCTGCATATGTTCTTTTACATTAGATTCATTTTACACAGAATCAAGCTTATAAATGAATACAGAAAAGAAATGTATAGATTGGACAGCTGTACTTACCATGAACTTGGTTGATTTCTGAATTTTGGGAAAGAATTTCATCTGCTAATTTTTGAGCAGTTGGCAAAACCTCTGTGTGGTGCACTGTGATCAAATACTGTACAAACTTCTGTAGTTGGTCTCTATTCATTTGAAAGAGAGTCTCTGAAATGGGAAGATGCAGTTTGACCTGATCTGGCTTGCGGATTCGATATAAAGAGAGTGCCACAACATGAGCACAATAAAAAATGTCCTTGTTTCCACAGCTGCAGGTCACTGAGGTAATCTTGCAACGATCAAAGCTGATGGCCACGTTGCAAACAGCTTCTGGCTCCGACTGTATTGCAGGTTCCGTCACTGTGCCACTCAAGTGGAAACCTATGGGAACAGAAGAAGTTTAGTGTCTGTATTCTGATGCTATATGAAAAGTTCTCTTAAAAACAAGTTGTACTGGATAGCATAAATAAAAAACAATACAACAGCTTTTATCTTCAAATACAGCATTCAAGCCACTGGCATCCCTTCCCCCCAAAAAAGGTAAAACAGTAAGTATGTAAGTAAGTAAATAAACAAAAAGTTGTTAGAGCACAGTACTAGTAAGTCATCACTGTACTCTGAGACAATGGTATTCAAGACCAAAAAAACATTCTCTTAACTTTTAACACAAAAGCCAACTTGCTTAGCTTTCTTCTCAAAAATAAAAAAAAAAATGAAAAAGCACTTCCCCCTTCTCTCTGCCTTTATTCTAGGTAGCCACCATTCTGTCAAATTACACTGCAATTCTAAAGGAATCCTTTTCACAAATTTTGAACAGAGAAAAATTTTAGTAATATTTCCTGTAGAATGGACAGCATATCCCCAAATGTTACAATATCTATGAGTAGCAACTGCCAAGAAAACCATAGAACTCACTATAGCTCATACACACTACAGTCTAAGTCTGATACTGACACAAGAGTAAACTCCATACCCACTCTCCACATCACCAAGGAAGAAAGATCATTGATAGCTCTGTAACTCATACTTTCAACAATCTTCAACAAGCTCCTTGACCAATGGCCATTTAAACACTGTTTATAAGGATCCAGAGTTACAATTTCTAGCTAAGCTCAATACCAATGCAAACTGTCACCCACCACCATTGTGTACCAATTAATGCTGGACTACTTGTACAGAGGAAAACGTTCCACATTCCCTTTTCCTGAATGCATGGGAAAGCTGGGGTGGCAGGGTGAACATCATCGCGTTTCATCTCCTCTTTCTAAAAGCCATATTCCATGGCAAGTGCAAACCTGAAGACAATGAGAAGGGGATCCCTCTGGGAACATCCAGGACTTAAGATTTACCTCAAGTGCTACACAAAGAGGTCATTGGCTCCCTCTGACCTTCTACTATTTGTACTACTTTAATAATAAAATCTATCAAGCTGACCACTGCTTCTTCAACTTCTTTTATTCACTGAAAAGGAGAGACTTCTGAGAGAATCAGCACACATGAAGTGCAGAGATGTGACTTGAGAAAAACAGACAATACCAAAAATTCCAACATGGGACTTCTGTACCTAACTTGTCTTCTACAGAAGCTATCTAAGCCAGAGATGGAAAGAAAGACTACTCAAATCTTTCAAAATAGTTTAATTTCATCCTGATATTCAACACTTGTAAAATGTAGCAATTTTTACTAACGGAATCAATTTTTAATAGTTTTTATTGAGATTAAGTGATTACATAAATTTCACAGTATTGTGAGATAGTGATACTTAAATTCACAAACACATTTTAACTTTCACGAGGCAAATTGTCATTATCATGATCTATAATATTTGTGAATTCTATAATGTTTGACAATACAACTATTTCTTCCACATCGAGTAATATGTACATTTCTTTCCTTTTGCTTGGTGTAAGCTGTTCCCTCTTTCCCTCTCATTCCCTCCCTCCCATCACTGCCCTTGAGTTACTTAGTTCATTTTCATCAATGTCCAGTGCAGCTGATGGGCCCCTTTGTTGTATCTTTTCCCATTTCCTTCTAATTCCTCCTAGCTTCCCTCAGATACACACACACACACACACACACACACACACACACACACACACACACTATATGAGGTCAAGAACATGATCAGACAAATTGAGTGGATGTCCTTTGTTTCTTGAGTCCTGTTTACTTTGGCATATCTCCTTGCATTTTGGATTTAATATCCACATACCAGGGAGACCATGTGCCTTGTCTCTCTGCTCTTGGCTTACCTTGCTCAAAATGATTAGTTCTAGTTCCATCCATTTCCCTGTGAATGCCATTATTTTGTCCTTTCTAACGACTGCATAATACTCTATTGTATATAGGTACCACAACTTTTGGACCCATTCATCTGTAGTGGGGCATCTGGGTTGTTTTCGTATCTTGGCTATTGTGAACAGTGTTGCAATGAATTTGGAGGTGCATGTGTCCTTGTACCCTGGTTCCTGCTGCTTAGGGTAGATGCCTAGGAGTGGTATGGCTGGGTATTTGGGAAGGTCTATATTTAGCTTTCTGAGGTAGTTCCAGACTGCTTTCAAAAGTGGTTGTATTAGTGTACGTTCCCACCAGAAATGCAATAGGGTTCCTTTTTCTCTGCATCCCCATCAGAACTTGTCAGAATGGCTGGGGTAAGGTGGTATCTCAGGGTTGTTTTTATTTGCATTTCCTTTACAGCCAGGGATGATGAACATTTCCTCATATGTTTCTTTGCCATTTTTATCTCTTCTTCTGAGAAGTCTCTCTTTAGCTCCCTTGCCCATTTAATGATTGGTTTGTTAGATTTGGGAGGGATTAGTTTCTTGTGTTCCCTGTATATAATGGGTATTAGTTCCTTGTCTGATTTAGTTCTGGTAAATATTTTTTCCCAATTAGTTGACTGTCTTTCTAGATTGGTAGCAAAGTTTTTAGCTGTGCAGAAACTTTTTAAGGTAGTCCCATTTGTCAAGTCTGTCTTCCAACTTGCTGAGTCTCTCTCCAATTTGTTGTGACCCTGGGACTCTGTTCGGGAAGCTCCTGCCTGTGCCTATAAGTTCAAGTGTTTCTCCAACTCTGTCCTGCAGTAGTTTCAGAATTTCAGGTTTGATGCTAAGGTCTTTAGTCCATTTTGAGTTGATGTTAGTGCATGTTAGTTTTCTGCATGTGACTACCAATTTTCCCAGCACCAATAGTTGAAGAGGCTATACTTCTTCCACTATATGTCTTTGGCTTCTTTGTAAAATATCAGCTGAATATAGGTATGTGGTTTTATTTCTAATCTGTTCCATTGGTCTTCATGTGTGTTTTTGTGCCAATACCAAGCTGTCTTTGTTATTATGGCTCTACAGTAGAGCTTGAAATCTGGTAAGGTTGATTCCTCTTGCATTGTTTCTTTTGCCTAGAATTGTTTTGGCTATTCTAGGTCTTTTGTTGTTCCATATAATTTTTTTATTGTTTTCTCTAATCCAACAACGAACATCATTGGGATTTTGATGGGAATGGCATTGAATTTATATATCATTTTTGGCAGCATGGCCATTTAAAACAGCATTTTGTAAATACTTTTCTTATTGCTTCACAATAAGAAAACTTGAAAATGATCATATGATAACCATTTGGGATAATGAATATTATCCTTCTTTCAAAATAGATACTCCAGTTTTCCTCCAAAACAATTAAAGGATACATAGAAAATACATTACTTAAATTTATGTCTCTTTTCTCATGAGAAAATTACATGTAAGAGTAAATACCTTAAAAATTTCATTAATGAAGAAAAGTAAGAACAGGCCTGACTTAATATTATCATTCTCTAACAGATATACTCTAAAGTGAATGGAATTAAAAATCTATGGGACAACTACAGATGAATCATACCAAAAATTGTGGTACCTATATACAATGGAATATTATGCAGCCATTAGAAAGGACAAAATAATGACATTCGCAGGGAAATGGATGGAACTAGAACTAATCATTTTGAGCAAGGTAAGCCAAGAGCAGAGAGACAAATGACACATGGTCTCCCTGATATGGATGTTAAATCCAAAACGTAGGGAGATATGACAAAATAACCAGGACTCAAGAAACAAAGAACCTCCACCTAATTTGTCAGATCATTTCTAAATGACTCCATGTTCTTGACCTTGTGTGTGTGTGTGTGTGTGTGTGTGTGTGTGTGTGTGTGTGTGAGCGTGAGTGCGTGCGTGCGTGAAGGAAGCTAGGAAGAAGGCACAGAATCAAAAGGAAATGGGAAAATATACAACAAAGGGGCCCATCAGCTGCACCGGACATTGATGAAAATGAACTAAGCAACTCAAGGGCAACTGGGAGAGAGGGAATGAGAGGGAAAGAGGGAACAGCTTAAACTAAGCAAAAGAAAAGAATGTACATATCACCCAATGGAAGAAATAGTTGTACTCTCAAAGCTTGTAGAATTCACAAACAGTATAGACCATGATAATGAAAATTTGCCATATGAAGGTAAAAATGCGTTTGTAACTTTAAGTATCACTATCCTACAATACTGTGAAATTTGTGAATTTATGTAATCATTTAATCTCAATAAAATTATTATAAAAATCTATGGGACAAAGATTAAGACAAAAATTAAACATGGATTATAAGAGTCCAGAAAACTCCTAGGTACATTCTTTGCTTAAAGAAAACTTTACAAGCTATTACATACATGCTTACGGGAAACCAGATATCATAATCAAAATAGTTAAAAACTAACCATTTATAAAAACCACCTCTTTCCACTTAACATTACCACTTAATTTTCCCCTGACCACTCAGTAAAAGACTATCTCTATCTACAGAAGTAATATTAAGAATTACAAGCAAAACCAAGATAATTAAGATGTTAAATGAGTGAAACTAGTTAGTAGAGAGACTTCAAGGATTCTTTCACATGAGGAATACAGATTTTTAAAGAAGACATGAAGGTATAGGGAAGAACTAGTTGCAAAGAGGAATGAGACTGTTAAGAAGGGGATAGGTGGAACAGAGAGAATAATAAAAAGACAAATATGGTCAATGTACATTATATGTATGAATGAAAATGTCATAAATATAACTTACTTTGTATAATATGTGCTGGTGAAAAAAAAAGAGTAGCAACAGCAAAGGATCTACATGGAGAATTAGGAATATAGCTTAGCAGTAGAACACAGCTGAAGAATCTAGAGGTCCTGATGGGTTTAAGGCTTGGTAGTATAAAAAAAAATTTAATTGTGAAAAAGAGCCTAAAAGAAGATAATGTAGTAAGTCATTCAAAAAAATTAGTTCAACTCTCAAATAAGCATTTAGAAAAGCTGGTAGAGCTGTCAAATGATTTTTGCTAAAATGACCTTATTCATGTAAGTTGTACAGTACATGTC